CCTAGCCAGTGAACTGAAACACGTACACCAAGCTCTCAAGATGAATGGATATTCAGACTACACAATCCGTAAAGCTATCACCCCAACCGTTGGGAAAGAACCATCTGAGGACCCAATCAAAACCATCACCTTGCCATACATAGCAGGGGTCACCAAAAAGATCTCCAAAATCATGAGCAAACACAAGATCCAGGTTCGATTTAACACAGTACATAAAATTCGTGATCTGATCCCATCTGTGAAGGATGTGATCCCTGACATGCAATACCCGGCGTCTACAAACTAAGCTGTGTCTGCGGCAGTAGTTACATTGGGGAAACTAAGCGACATGTCTCGGACCGTGTTCGTGAACATAAGGCAGATCTGAAACACGGTAGGACCAATACCTCGGCCGTGGCTGATCATTGTTTTAATGCGGTGGGCTCACACGAAATTGATTTCTCTAAGACGAAGGTACTTTGCAAACCCACTGGCTATCAACAAAGATTCGTTCATGAAGCCATCCACATATGCAGAAGACACAACTTCAATCGAGAAGATGGGTATAAACTGAGCAATCATTGGAAGGACGTTATCAACCAGTTTAAGTCATAACTGGCTGTGATGTTCCCATCCTACCACCTTCCGATGTTAGTTTATTTTCGGTCTCTGATTTTACATTAACAGGTTAAATTTCCACACTAACACAGCCACCTCGCTTGCCAGCTCGACGTTGCTGCTGTGCGATCTTCCATTAACATGCTAATCTCTCACATTAACATCGCCACCTCCGCGCCCTCGTGGAGGCCGCTCTCCGATCTTACATTAACACGCTAATTTCTCACATTAACATCACTAGCCCTGTCCACTTCGTTTAAGACCCTTGGGCTATATTCCATTTTAAACCTTTAAAACAGTCTGCCGCAGCAGCTTTCCCCCTTTTGTTCCTCCTGATGACGATCGCTTGTGTTGTGATCAAACGTCGTAGTTTTTTGTTATTTTTTCTTTGAACCTATCTACGTGACTTTACCGAAAGACCCAACGAATATGATTTTGGCCTCTACATAATATTTTTTTATATTCTCAATCTTACAGAACTTTAGCATTACACTCATTAGCAATAAATTATAGATGCATTAGCACATACATAAATACCGCACTTCACTTCATGGTAATTACAATGGTAGATATTTGGTTGCATGTTAAAATCCTGGTTGGGGGTTGACTCAGCTCATCATCCCTCCGGGGTTGTTGAAATGAGTAGCAACTTTGTGGGATAGTCAATAGTGGTTGTCCGATGGATACACCTGCCCCCACCAGAGGAATGCAGATTTTCCACCACTGGCTCTGCAGGGCTGTAAACATGAGATGAGCACCAATGCCTCGATGTATATTTTATCAGCAGGAATTTACTCTTGATTTTTGTAACAAGGCTTTATTTCAGATTCATGAAATATCGATGCGAAACTAGCACGAGGTTGCAGTGATATAGAAGCCACAGTCGCACGCTTCAGTGTGTCATCCAAACATTAATTTGGCACTGCATTTGGCCGAGAATATAATCTCGTTACGTGAAACATGGGAGCACACGACAGGAACTCTTCACTCTTTAATATTCACCGCCCCAGCGTAATGGAACACACAAGTCACCCCGGAGACGAGAGCTTCACTGCATCCTCACAATAAAACACATCACTTCCCGCAGCTTGGGCGTAGCCTCTATATGATCTCGTGCCACGAGCCAGGAGATGTGACACCATTCGCAATGCAGCCCGATATATCGATACCTCACAGTTCAAACAGTACATTATTACAATTTAGTTACAAAAAGCAGGGAAGACATGGTTTTGATTATAAAGGCTGCTCTCACAGGCTGTAGGCACATGGGTATGTTAACAAACGAATATCTGGCACGAACAGAAAATGACAATCAAAATTAATGTCTTGGAGAGCCCGCATATGTCATCTGCATATGGAGGTGGTGACTGAGTGGCATAAGTCGTAATCCAGTTGGCTCCAGCTAAAATCACGAGTTGGACTGCCGGGAATTGTGCATATTTATTTTGCAGACAGTGACATTCATAGGCCGAGAAAAATCTTTGTGGGAAGTGTTTGCAGATATATAATTTATTTTATTGGGTCAGATCACGTACATAGAATGTGTGTTGTATCTGTTTGCAGATACTCGGATTTAGAATAGATATTTACATTTATTGGTGCATGGTGGTCCGTGGGGTTGTCAGTGACTCACAAACCACAGGTTCGGAACCACTGCTTTGGTGGATACATTTATAACTCGGGGTGACCAATTACAAGAATATTTGGGTGGCAGGGTAACACTTGAGAACAGCAAGAAGGTCCTGGGGGTTCGATTCCTGACACGGGTGCCTTTCTGTGGAGAATTTGTTTGTTCTGCCCTTTTTTGCATGGGTTTCCTCTTGGTTCTCTGGCTTACTCTCACAGCAAAAAACCCAATGTAACTGGTGTTGGTCATATGCTGAAAAATGACCTGCAAATTACTCAATTGGGGTGACACATGACAACATCGCACCCTCCTGTAAAAACTTGGCAAGACCCTCCTGAAAGTGTCTTGAGACTCAGTGAGATTTCCTGGGTAAAAAAAACCGTAATAATTATAACAAAAAAAAGAATAATTACGACTGACATCCTGGTTGTGTTAAACTCTCCACTCTGCTCATCCATGGAATGTGGAACATTCTCGGGCTGATTTGGGGGCCGTGGGGGGTCCTCGAGCAGTAGGCCTTGCTGCTGCAACCCTCCCGGACCCAGCGTCGTCACCACCTCACAGCGCACCACTAGGCAGTCATCGCGCAGGTAAGAGCGGTGGTGCAGGGTCTTGATATCCATGAAATTCATGTAGCCAAAACCTTGGGGTTGCGGTGCACGGAGGGGCGCTGGAAGGCACTCAGCTGCGGATCGGCATCCATCATTTCTGTCACGTGCACGCTGTCGCGCTCACACTGGTCCACCACCGAGATGCGGATGCGACCGTTGAAGGGCCATGGCAGGCGGTGGTCATAGTCGCCTTGCAGCAGGTGAACAAACAAGGCCAGATGAGGTTGGCGCCCGGCGAGCAGCACGCCGGGAGAAGCCGCGCCCGCCGGACCCTCGCGGCCGCTCAGCACCTGCAGGCGAAGGCACAGGCGGTAGCCGGGGACTCCTGTGTAGAATCCCGAGCTGTGCATGACAGCCGGAGCGTCTGGGTGCATCCCATCGGAGGCAAAGCCGGAGGCGAGGCCCCAGGGAGGAGTCGTGAGAACCTCTCCACGCGCCACGTGAAGATGCCCGCGCACAGGCGCGACTCGGACTCGGCCACGCGAGCCTCCAGCGAGCGCACGAGGCGCGTGGCCTCGGCAAGCAAGCCCTGCTGGTTGTCCGTCTTGGCGCTCAGCTCCCGGATCTGGTGCAGCTGCAGGATGACGCGCTCCTCTAACGTCCGCGTGATTTCGCGCAGCCGGTCCAGCTCCTGAGCGCAGTCGCACGCGGCGCGGTCGCGCGAACCCTGGCTCCGACTGGCGCCGGCAGTCTGGACGTCCCCGCCGCTCGTGCTGCTGAGCCAAGAGAGGCTGTTAGGCGGAGCAGAGGACCCGGCCGCCGAGGACGGTTGGGCACCCTGGCCAACCTGGATACGCAGGATCTTGAGGCCGTTGGCCAGGAGACGCATGTGCACCTGGGTGTGCTCATGCATGTGAGCGGCCAGCAGCGACCGCACCATCTGCGAGAGAGCAACATACCACACACACACGCACGAGTTCACACGTATAACGAGACGACTTCCGAGACACGACTTGTAGAGGGTTTCTTATTTATTTCTTAATACTTTAACGACAGGGTCACAGAGTAACATAAGCACTGACTGACTTATAGCTTAGCCATCCATACAGCGACATCGGCAACACATAACTATATAGCTGGCTAACTATATAGTGACGACGTCGATGAAGACTGTATAGCTGGCTGGCTATGCAGCGACGACGACGAAGAGATGGCAGCGATGACGGTGATGACAGCCAGGACCCAAACCCCCACGACAGCCCCGAACCCCCGTTTGCCTTTCCCTTACATTCACCCAGTATGGCCAAGCCCACCGCCCTTGGCCACGCCCCTCTTCTGGAACTCTCTCGCGAGTTCCAGGAGCTTCCAGTCCAATCCCCTCTTTGACCCTTGACCCAGTTATGCCCCCTTGTGGTCGGCTGCATAAGTGTCATTCTATACCGCTCCCATACCCGTAGTTAGCACTCTTGGCCACCAGATGGCATACCCACAATCAGGCAGCATGTTCTATTTCGTTTTAAAATCCAGTGACATCCTATGCGACTTAATTCTTATTCTTAGTAGAATACTTATCTACTAAGGAAAGCCTCGCTGAGTGTCAAGCTTCTTTTTCAGGAGGGTGCTGTTAAGTTTTCACATTAGGGGCGATGTTGCTGCTGCTGTGCGTAATCCCATTTGAGTAATTTGCAGGTAAACTTTCAGCATTGGGATCTTTTGTAAAAAAAGCTACATTGTACGTGATATAGCTATGGGAGGAAACCAGTGATCCCAGATGAAACCCATGCAGAACAAGAGATAACATACAAATTTCACACACTATCACTTACCACCACTCACACATGCACACACTCTGCGGAACAGGGAGAGGACATACAAATTCCACATGTAAAGGCAACCGAGTCGCTAATCCCTTCTTGCTGTGAGGCAGAAGTGTTACCACTACACCTCCCTGCTACCACTTAATGCACTATTTATCTCTGCAGCTTTGTACTGAAGAGCTACCTGATTTATGCCTGGAATTCTCGAGAAAAGATATGACTCTGCACAGCATATGAAGCCCCAAAATCGTTACCTGAGCCTCACAGCCGAGCGGGCTGAAGGTGCAGGGCACCTGGGCTTGCTGACAGTCGACCTCCAGATGCGGCCCCAGCTGTTGTAAAGACAAACGTAGCAATTGATCACAGAATGTTACATCGCCAAAAACTCATGTCAGGGAATCACCACCCATAATCAATCTACTGCTGGATTAAGGCATCCTCAAGCCACTGCTGCTTCTCATGATCCTGCTTTTTTATATTGTTGCACATTTTTATTGACGCTGACATATCTACTGCAATAGTTGCGTAGGAGGTTATTGCTATGCCCATTACACCTTCAGGACGCAACGTCTTCAGAATGTAGCTACCACGCGCGCTTACAATAATTAATCTACTTTATTTATACTGCGTCATTCATGCAATGCGCATTGTAAAATGCTGTCCAAGTCGTAATGTGCAGTATTCGTACAGAGGTGCAGGAATTTACATGCAAGTGTGAAGGTAGCCAGAACCAGCAATACCTGAAGAAAATCCACGTGTGCGAGGTTGTAACGCTTAATCCTCATCCAGGTGGAACAGAGAAAAATGTATCTATTTGCTCGACTACCATATTCTGGACAAGCCAGGAGATGGCAGTGATGGAACAGATGACTCACCTGTTCCCGGATCAGCTCCTGTTGGCAGTGTTTGCAATTCACCACGACGAGTGGACACATCTGTTCATGGTTCTGCAGAAAAGCAAAGCAAACAGAAAACACACAGCAATGTGTTAGTCACTGACAGAAGCAAATATTTTAGATTATTTAGCTCGTTGCTAAATATTCATGCTCTTTTAATTATATAAATGTTTACATTTTATAGACAAATATTATAATGGAAATAGATATTATGCTTTTTGACCCACCCCGAGAATGTGCCACATTCATTGGGTTGAGCAGGGTGGAGAGTTTAACACCACCAGGATCTCACTTGTCATTAGTTTACTATTACACTTTTTTACCTAGGGAAGCCTCACCGAGTCTTAAGACTGTTTTCAGGAGGGTCCTGCCAAGTATTTGGAGTAGGGGGCAATGTTGAAATGTTTCATCCCAACGGAGTCATTTGCAGGTAATTTCTCAGCAATGGTAATTTGGCCAGTTCCAGTTACACTGTGGTGTTTTTTAGGTGTGGGATGAAACCAGAGAACCCGAAGGAAGCTCATGCAGAACACACAGAGAACATACAAACTCCACACAGCAAGGCGCCCGAGTCGGAAATCGAACCCAAGTCCTTCTTGCTGTGAGGCGCAAGTGCTACCACTCCAAGACCCTCCTGCCCAGAATATAATCGGAATATATCGCAGCCACAGTCTAACCTTTGAGTCCTGGTATGCCATCTTCTCACAGCAGTGGAGACAAGTGACGATGCGTCTCATGCACTCCTGCTCCTCGTGCTTTGCCAGGTCCCGCCGGCACACAGGCATCTCACAGCGCACACACGGCACCTGCGCGTACTCACAACGCAACTGGTGTTCCTGCACACATGCACACACGAAGGGCATTATACAACATTCAGTCAAAGTGTAAGTGATGTCTTGGTCAGATAAGCAGTGCATCGATGAGGTGGCTTGGTGGTAGAGTGAATTCACGTTCTGGTTGGGGGTTGACTCAACCCATCATACCTCCATTCAGGGTCAATAAAAAAGTACCATAATTGATTCTTTACCCTTCTATCTGGCAACAAAACTGACACCTTTTTGCAAGGAGTTGCAAGGAGTCATGTTTGCATAGACCGCAATACCTGCAGTCATAATACATAATACAAACAAAAGAACATAACTCTGATAATGTGCACTATGTTCTTTTGTTTGTATTATGACTGCAGGTATTGCGGTCTATGCAAACATGACTCCTTGCAAAAAGGTGTCAGTTTTGTTGCCAGATAGAAGGGTAAAGAACCAATTATCATATTTTTACTGGCAAATGAGGTCCCCATAGTGAAAAAAGTACCAGTTTGTGTGAAAGTCAACAGTGGTTCTTTGGAAAGACTTGCCTCCACCATCATAACGTGGAATATCCATCACTGGCTCGTGGCTGTAAACAGGAGCGGAATACTGCCTAAATGTAAATTTGAGCTTGAATTATGCCATGGGAATGATTCGGGATGCGGTGTAGGAAATGGCTGGGGCTTCTCACCTGTAGGGCACGCAGCTCGCCGCGGTGACCACACGGCTTGTTGGGACATCGCACGGTGAGCGACAGGATCTCGCGCTTGGCAAAGTTATCGGGGAAGAGTTGTCCCTCATGGAGCACGGCGTTATCCACGGGGCACTTGGGACCGGCGTCCCTAAGTCAGTAACATGGAATGCATATTTGAACCTGAAGTTGTAAAAATGTTAACGCACACACTAAAAAATAGTCTACACAGTTTAGACAATTATTACAGAAGCAGCCAGACAAAGAGGCATCGTGTACAGGGGGGGATGCACGGATATCCCTGGCTCTGATTGTTTTATCCCTGGGACTGCACTTTCACTTGCCATCCCAGGCGGTGGGGGAGGGGTCGGGGGGATAATGCGCAATGCCAGGGTTAAGCCTGGTTCGTGGGAGGCTGCTTGGGAATCACAGGTCCTGTAGGGGCGGGAGGCTGGCTGCGAGATAGCCAGGAGATAGCAGTATGGCAATAGATTCTTTAATATATTTGTGCGGTGCTTTGGGCGTGAACCCCTCCTATGCGCCAGGTGTTTCATCCGGGCTCTCCGGTTTACTCCCACAAGAAGCCAAACTCTCATTAATGGAATTGGCCAAACCTAACAATGTAGCAGGACCCGCCTGAAAAATTATTGAGACTCAGTGAGGCTTCCCAAGGTAAAACACATGATTATGTAAAAGTGCACGCATAGTGTAATAGCACCGGCTGCTGTCCAGCAGCGGCAACTGTGGTGGACAAACAGTGCACACGCCGGTGAGCATATACACGGCTGTGTGTCGGCAGGGCGGAGGAACTGGGGCAAGGGTCATGGAAGACCCCATCTGGAAGCCCCTGGAACCTGCTAGTGGGTTCCAGAAGGGAGGCGTGGCCAGTGCGGAGCCAGGCCGCGCTGGGAGCATAAAAGCAGCTGAGAGCGGAGCTCAGGGCTGCCGGTTCTGGGAGTGGACTCGTCTCGTCGTCGCTGTCGTCTTCACCGCCTTCTTCACTAGATATTGCACGGCCGGAGAGTTGTTGGCTGTCTCGGTCAGTGCCATCAGTGTTACACGGTCAGGGTTGTGTTTAGGCTCGGCTAGATGACTAGTGAGAGTGCGAGGGCGAACCTGTGAAGTGTGTAGGTGTTAATAAAAAAGGTGCCTCCTGGAAACCCTTGTCTCCAAATCGCTGACATTACCCCATGTAACATTCGTTGGCAATATCACCTGCTGTTGCTGCTGTGTGTGCAGGTGTCATACATTTCAGCGGCTTGTCACAATCTCGTATTGCATGAAGGCCTCATTGTGTCGGTCAGAAATATTGTTTGACCATTCTTTAACCTGTTTAGTATTCCCTGTTGGTGGAATTTCCGTAAAAAAAATTGTAGATAGTCTGTTTGTGAAAATGTGGAAATATTTTGGCGGCAGGATGGTAGTGCAGTGGTAACACTTGTACCTCAAAGTATGAATTGCCTGGGTTCAATTCCCAAATCGGGTGCTTTTCCGTGAAGAGGTTGTATATTTTCCTCCTATTCTGCACGAGTTTCCTCTGGGTTCCCGAGTTTCCTCCCATTACATACAAAGAAACACACGGAAACCGGTATTGGCCAAAACATCCCCAAGCTGAAGAATTACCTGCTAATGTCTCAATTGAGATGACACATCACATCATCGCTACTTACTGCAACTTGTCAAGTCGCTCCTGAAATAGTCTTGAGATTATGTGAGGCTTTCCTGAGTAAACAAGCGTAATAATAATGACATTTTACAGATAACTCTTCCCTCCCATCATCTGTAAAACATCCTGGCTGAAACTGGCAGGGTCCGACATCTTCATGACACTGAGAGCAGCTCTATTGAAGCCATGTGTGTGGGAATGTCCAGTGTATGTGGGAAGGCCCAGCGCACCTCATGGAGTGCAGGATGCATGCTCTGCAGAAGCGGTGTCCGCAGGGAGTCTGCACGGGCTCCCTCAGTGCCATCAGGCAGATGGGGCACTCGTACTTGCTCTCAAGGGGCGGCTCAAAGTCAGCCTCGTAGCCTTGAGCCTCGGTGGCCGAGTCATCGCCAGACACCGAATGGAAGGAAAGACCGCTCTCTGAACAATCGGTTGTGTCTCCTGGCGTGCGCAATCCCCGTGCGCTGCAGCACGCCTCATCGTCCACTTCGTGACCACCACCACAGCTCATTGTGCCACGCGGCCCCACGGCCCGGATGGGGCCTGCACAGAACCTAGTGGTACACGTAGGGGGAAGTTGTGACCAGGCATAAGTACAAAAGATCACAGGAGTGGTGAAAGCAAGTCAGTCTCCCATCGCTGACCTCATCACACAGACCCCACTCTACCCTGGTATGCACACACACAACCGGCAGGAAATTTGCACGCAGGCATTGCGCGCACATATAGATACAAGTTCTTCGCATCAGCCCAACTTTGCTGATAAATGTCAAATCTGGCCCACAGTTTGCTGGTATTTCGGAGAGTGAAAATATTAACTCTCCGGAAGGCCGTGTGGCCAATGGGAAGTGTAAATGTTTTTGCGGAGAGATATGTGAAGGTGGATTTCTGACTAGCTTCAGGAGTGACATGTCCCTGTCTCTGTTTTCTTAACATAAACCTGTTACCTCCATGAAGTCTAAAAACCTGCCCCGTATATAGTTTGTGATGTTATTTATATTGATACAAATTTTTTTAACGTAAAGGTACAGCCCTGCAATTGCTTAAGCCAATTTCGGCGCGAGGGTGTTCACGAGAGGAACATCTGGGGGGGTATTGGGTTTACTCTTCCACAATGACCAGGCGTGTTGGAGGAGGTGGGCATAACCCCCCACTCTTCGTCCCATCACACGCGACCGGCCGATCAATGAAGTTGCGGTGACCCCATTTACACTGTTGCTGGGTGCCCAGGGGCGGCGGAGTAAACTTTCCCGATTGTGTTCACAGCCGCGCCGGGAGATGGAATTAAACCGGTGCGACTGGATTGCAAGTCCAGTGTGTGCTGTTACATTACGGCAGCTACCTATAAACATACACAATGCGGCGAAAACACGGTCACGGCAAAATCTCACGAACCACCCAGTGACTTCGACGCGGTCCGGCCTCTCGCCTGGCGCCCGCAGCCGCGGCCAGGCGAGCCGGGGCCCTTGCCCCGTGCGGCCTCTGGGCCTCACACGAGCCACTCATCACATTTATATTAATACATCTCCAATGGTGTAACGCATTAATCTAAATATATCTTCCAATGCTCTTTGTTCTTTCGCTAAAGTTACGTGGAAGAAAATAAATTAAACAATAGAATACGACGTTTCGATTACAACACAAGCAGTCGTCATCAGGTAGAACTACATTTGAGAGACAAAACAGACACAGAGACACACAGACACAAACACAGAGAGAGACACACAGAGACACAGAGAGAGAGATACAGACAGACAGAGAGAGACACACACAACATAGACACACAGACAGACACACAAGCAGAGAGAGACAACACAGACACGGAGACACAACATAGACACACAGAAACTCTGTGTTGTCTCTCTGCTTGTGTGTCTGTGTTGTCTCTCTCTGCTTGTATGTCTGTCTTGTGTCTATGTGGTGTGTCTCTCTCTGTGTCTCTCTCTGCTTGTGTCTCTCTGTGTGTCTGTGTTGTCTCTCTCTGCTTGTGTGTCTGTCTGTGTCTGTGCTGTGTCTCTCTCTCAAATGTAGTTCTACCTGATGACGGTTGCTTGTGTTGCAATCGAAACTTCGTATTTTATTATTTAATTTATTTTCTTTCTAAGTGACTTTACCGAAAGAACCAAAGAGTAATTCCTGCAGTCACGAAAGCTTCAAATCAAATATCTTCCAATGGTTTAGCGCAATACATGCGGGCGAATGTGTATGTGGCCACGTTGTTTGCAGCACACTGTAAACACGCCGCTCGCAGCGCGACACCCACCGGCGTCCAGAGCCCGGAGCTCGGATCTCGGCAGTGATCGGAGCCCGGTCACTTGGCCGAGGACGCCGCTACTACTCGGAGCTCGCCGGTGCGCGGACCCCACTGCCGAAAGCGACTGCGACTCGGCCTCCAGAGCTCGGGTCTCGGGTACAGCTGTTTAGTCGTCAGGGTGGTCAGAGCCTGGTGCTCGGACTCAGGAATTTCATTGTCATACTCGCACCCGGTGGCTCGAACCTCGGACACCTGCACCGGGACCTCGGACCCCGGTTCTCGGCGCCCTTTGAACCGCGACGCTGCCCTGAAGTCGCCCTCCGACCACTCGACCTCGGCCCCCGGTGCCTCGCTTCCTTCATCCGGGAACTCGGCCCCCACGTCACGTGACCTCGGGGAAGCCCCGTGACGTCACGACTAGGGGGGGCGGGGCGCTATCTCCACCCAGGCTCTATCCGCTGCTGAATGGCCCAGAGGCCTGGCGCCCCACCCACCCACCCCGCAGGGCGAGACGCGCACCTCCACCCGCGGGCGAGACGCGCACCTCCACCCCGCAGGGCGAGACGCGCACCTCCACCCCGCGGCGAGACGCGCCCTCCACCCCGCAGGGCGAGACGCGCACCTCCACCCGCAGGGCGAGCCGCGCATCTCCACCCCGCGGCGAGACGCGCACCTCCACCCCGCGGCGAGACGCGCACCTCCAGCCCGCAGGGCGAGACGCGCATCTCCACCCGCGGGCGAGACGCGCACCTCCACCCCGCGGCGAGACGCGCACCTCCAGCCGCAGGGCGAGACGCGCACCTCCACCCGCAGGGCGAGCCGCGCATCTCCACCCCGCAGGGCGAGACGCGCACCTCCACCCGCGGGCGAGACGCGCACCTCCACCCCGCAGGGCGAGACGCGCACCTCCACCCCGCGGGCGAGACGCGCACCTCCACCCCGCAGGGCGAGACGCGCACCTCCACCGCAGGGCGAGCCGGCATCTCACCCGCGGGCGAGACGCGCACCTCACCCGCGGCGAGACGCGCACTCAGCCCGCAGGCGAGACGCGCATTCACCGCGGGCGAGACGCGCACCTCCACCCGCGGGCGAGACGCGCACCTCCACCCGCAGGCGGACGCGCACCTCCACCCCGCAGGGCGAGCCGCGCATCCACCCGCAGGGCGAGACGCGCACCTCCACCCCGCAGGCGAGCCGCGCATCTCCACCCGCAGGCGAGACGCGCACCTCCACCCGCAGGCGAGCCGCGCATCTCCACCCCGCGGGCGGACCGCACCTCCACCGCGGCGAGACGCGCACCTCCACCGCAGGCGAACGCGCATACCGCGGGCGAGACGCGCACCTCCACCCGCAGGCACGCGCACCTCCAGCCCGCAGGGCGAGACGCGCACCTCCACCCGCGGCGAGACGCGCACCTCCACCCGCGGGCGAGACGCGCACCTCCAGCCCGCAGGGCGAGACGCGCACCTCCACCCCGCGGGCGAGACGCGCACCTCCACCCCGCGGCGAGACGCGCACCTCCACCCGCAGGGCGAGACGCGCACTCCACCCCGCGGCGAGACGCGCACCTCCACCCCGCGGGCGAGACGCGCACCTCCAGCCCGCAGGCGAGACGCGCACCTCCACCCGCGGGCGAGACGCGCACCCCAGCCCGCAGGCGAGACGCGCACCTCCAGCCCGCGGGCGAGACGCGCACCTCCACCCGCGGGCGAGACGCGCACCTCCACCCGCAGGGCGAGACGCGCACCTCCACCCCGCGGGCGAGACGCGCACCTCCACCCCGCGGGCGAGACGCGCACCTCCGCCCGCAGGCGAGACGCGCACCTCCACCCGCGGGCGAGACGCGCACCTCCAGCCCGCAGGGCGAGCCGCTCGCACCGCCTCGCAGCTGCGGCGGCCGTCCCGCGGCGAGATCCCCTCCGAGGCTGCGACTCCCCCACGGACTCGACCGCGTCTCCCCTCGCCACGCGTCCTGCACGAGCCCCCCGTGAACAAGAGGCAGGCTCGAGACGTCGTCTGGTTTACGTGTTCATGCGTACGCGCACTTATAAACGCACCCGCAATGTTGTACAAAACCAATAAAACATTCCGATTAAGTGAGGGTTTTCACATGATTGCTTTTTCATTGCTTTCATGGCTTTATTTTGGTGATTTCGAAAAGTGTATTGGTTTAGCCATGTTTGTTTGTTGTAGTACAGAGTTAGACTGATGGCCTTAATCTAAGCTGTCTTGTGGTTGTTGTTGTTGTTTGACTTGCATCCCACTGGGATTTTTGCACACAGTGTTGGTGTACGGTGTTTTTTCTGCAATATTTTGCTGTCTTTTCTTGGATTTTCTGTTTGCACTTAGTCACATATTCACTTTAAGATGTTTTTTGTTCATGTTTTTGTTTTTTGTTTGTTGCGGTTGCACCCGATTCAAGAGCTGAATGGCTCACAGGGCTATACCTAATAAATGAACTTGAACTTGAACATGTGAATTGTCAATAATGTGCAAAATGGGTTTCCATTTAATTTCAGAGGAAGTCTGTTATGATGGGTCATCGCCCATACTTTGTTGTATCTCGTAATGAGGAAGGTGTTGAGTTGCTGGCACGCCTCGCCCTTCAGGCGAAGCTCGCAGCACTGACCGACGGAGCGAGGAAACTCTGCCACTTCACGAGACTTTGTCAGCGGACACTGGGACACCGTCGCTCCCTGCTGGCAGCAGACTGAGTCGCAGCGCACTCGGCATATTGTTGTCTCTGCTTAGTGCGATAGCAGCTCACTGGCCGCGAGAGGGCTTCCAGGCAGCGCGTGTGAAGGAGCAAGTCCCACTGTGGTTTACAACGCGGTCCATGCTTTGGGTTGCATGACCACGATCGCACTATGGCTTGTCTGTAATGTATCGATGGGCTGACTACGTGGGTCGGAGTTTCGGTTGCAATTGACTCATCCTGGTCTCTGGAGTTCTCACCCGGGAACACAAACCGACGGGAACACTTGAAAAGCCACGCGTGGGTTGGCAACTCTTGAGATTAAAAGCAAATTAATGTACCTAAAAGATCATTAAAATCACTCGGATTCCAATAATCACCGGGAGATCGATGCCAGACCCGAGAGAGACTCCCGCCCATCCCGGAGAGTTGGCAACGCGCTGCTGCTGCTGCGGCGGCGTCGACGTCACCGCGCATGCGCAGCAGCAGGAGGCGCCATGGCGGGACGCGAGGAGGCCGAGCCGGGCGCCTCGAGCCCGAGCCGGAGTCCGATCTGCGCCCAGGGGTTCATAGGCGCCGCGGCGCTGTGGGTCGCGGCGACGTTGTTCGCACTGCCCGGGCCGAGCGCGGCCACCACGCACTGGGTCGTGACGGAGGACGGACGCATTCAGCAGCAGGTGAGAGACAGAGGGGTACAGGTAAGGCCCACTTCCTGTCCCCTGTCCCCGCGTACCTCTGTTAACACGGGTTCCTGCCTCCACCTGCTATCTCTACCTGTCTCCATGTACATGTCTCCACCTACCCCGTCTCCTCCACGTACCCCGTCTCCTCCACCTACCCCGTCTCCTCCACGTACCCCGTCTCCTCCACGTACCCCGTCTCCTCCACGTACCCTCTCCTCCACCTACCCGTCTCCTCCACCTACCCCGTCTCCTCCACCTACCCGTCTCCTCCACGTACCCCGTCTCCTCCACTACCCCGTCTCCTCCACGTACCCCGTCTCCTCCACCGTACCCCGTCTCCTCCACCTACCCCGTCTCCTCCACTACCCCGTCTCCTCCACCTACCCCCGTCTCCTCCACGTACCCCGTCTCCTCCACGTACCCCGTCTCCTCCACCTACCCCGTCTCCTCCACCTACCCCGTCTCCTCCACCTACCCCGTCTCCTCCACCTACCCCGTCTCCTCCACCTACCCCGTCTCCTCACCCCCTCTCCACCTACCCCGTCTCCTCCACCTACCCCGTCTTCTCCACCTACCCCCGTCTCCACCTACCTGAGCTATATCGGTGCTGCTCCTAAAGTACAGCAGAACCCCAATAATCCATGTTGATATGTGAGGTCAGTATTGTGTGTCCCATAATCCGCCGTTGTGATGTTTTGGTCTTGATCCGTGTCATATCTCTCGTATGCTGCATGAGCAGGTGGATTCCCAGTTGAACTTGAAGCACCCCCATGATCTCGTGTTGTTCATGCGCCAGGAGGCGCGGCTGGAGGCCCTCAAGGAGCTCGAGGTCAGTGACCGAGTGTAACCTATGAGAACGTGTAGCTTGTAAGAAACATATCTTCATAACCGCGCGGCTCTCAACTCGTGAGAGTGTTCTGGTTGGTGGGCGCACACGGCGGCCAGGATACCCTCATAGTGCCCCACCATCTTCACGGAGTCTCGTTGTAAGCGCTTGCTGTTCTTTTCGATTATTCTGATCACCAAGGTGCACATGCTAGCTCTATCTAGCTTTAGTAATTATACAGTAGTAATCTTACCATTTATATGGTGCTCAATGCTTCGGAAACCCAAAATGCCTTGCGTCACATACATCTCAAACACTCGAAGGGCAGCTGTCCTTGTGCAGCACAAGGCGACTCGGCACCGGCCTGCAAATGTGTATTTGATTGCCAGTAATAACATTTCTTTTTAATATTTCTTATTGCCAAAAATACACGATTCCTCACTGTGTATATGAAATGTAGGTTACTGTACTTATTATTGATATAATGCTTGTTTATCCAGAAAAACTGCAACGAGTCTCAAGATTTTTGCAGGGAGGGTCCTGCCAAGTTTTCACAGAAACGGACGATGTTCCATTCTGTTTCCCAATTGAGTAGTTTTAGGAAATCTTACAAACTCCACACATTGTGCCCAAGTCAGAAATGTAACCCACTTTCTCGAATAGTCTTATTAGGCTATACAGGGGGTCTTTGTTTTGTGCGTGGGTGCAGCTGGTTCTTATGGAGCATAAAATTCACATCGAGGAGAATGAAGACAAGGACACGCGCCTGGAGGAGCGGCACTATGCGAGGAGCCGGCCTGCACACATGCCCGCGTCCCCCTCGGTGACCTGGATCTCTATCATGGCACCTACATCGCCCTTGAGACCAAGAACATCCGGTGAGTACCTCGCGACAATTGTGGGATGGTGTCTTCCTGGCGGTGGTGCATTAGCTGCTCATTGCAGAAGTTGGTTCATGTCCAGCAGGGCACCCTGTTTGTACGTCATTATCGCTGCTGTTTTCGTTGTGTGGATGCTCTGCATGAACCACCTTTGTTGTGTGTAGGCCAGAAGATCACATAGATGTAAAGCACAAGCCAAGTGGTGACTTACTGAGTCCGGACTGCATGCGTATCCTGGAGCTCGCCTACAGCATACACGCGTTTCAGCACCTGCGGGTCAGTCTGCTCACACGCATGCATTTCCCTCTTGCACGCTGTAGGGCACAACCAGGTTCACGAATAAAACGCACACGCAAACACACGCTTGCTGCATTTGTACAAATATGGCAATGGTGCAGAGAGTCAAGACCATGATGCGGAGCGTAGCCTTGCAGGAAGCCGGAAATGTGGACACTGACAAAGCACAGCGTGAGACGGTGGGGAGTGTTTTAAACATGGATATGGAGGAGGATGCAGATAGCTACACTGAGAAGAAGAAATCTTAAATGGTATCAACGAACGAAGGTGAGAGAAGACCGGATTGGACGCATTTTAGGAGAGGATGGATCGTTGAGTAGGAAAATAATGAGAGAAAGGCCAACAATTTGGATGCTGGAGGAGCTGAAGAGGTGAGCAGAGAACAGAAAGACAGAGAAGATGGCAGCCGAGGACCTGCCATGAAGGCAGAGCACCAAATAAGAAGCGAAGCCCTGCAAGTGCTTGCTCACGGTCCTGCTGGCAAAAAGGCCTTCCCTAGAGGCAGCTCGAGGTGGTGGTACTGTATTTGGTCGATACTTTCCATGTTGACCAGACGTGTTGGAAAAGGTGGGCGTGTCCACACTTTTATACTGCCTCACCCGACTTAACTGTGGTGAACCCATGCATACTGCTGGATGGACAGAGGTTGTGGGAGATATGAGAAAATTGCACCATTGTTTTAACTGCCTCGCTGGAAGGTGGATTGCCAGTCTGGTATGCTCACCGTTACATTACAACAACTGCCATATGTGCAAGTAGCTACAAGTAATGGAGTTTTCATGTACATTCTTTAAAGTGCTTGCTGTTAACATTGTGGAGTGATTGTCACGTGTGGTGCTCTGCAGGGTGTGCAGGAGAGAGGAAATCTGAGTGCTCCATTGCTGTCCCCAGAGGATCCTGTATTCCAAGCATTGCCGCTTCCCATGGGGACCGGCAGCCTCGATGAACTGGGGCATCTGATTCACCTGGCGTTGCAGCAGGTGTGTGCCATGTAGGGCCACGTTCTTTGTCATAGCTCCGCTCTGGCTCAGTTTCTAACGTGACTCGGCTCAGGCTTAAGCCACTCGGCTGCTTCCACAGATGCAGGAGTGATTGACTCAGCCATTGTTCAACTTGGGCTCAGCTCAGTGGAATCCTGAGCCTCGTTGGGACTGTGCTTAGAGCCGGCTCAAGTTAAACGCAGTGGCTTTGAGCCAGCTGAAGCGAGCCATCGCCAAGCCTGAAATGAGCTGTGACTAAGAATACGGGCCTTGGACATCGAGCATTTTACAGTTGTATGTTCATGGCTCCTGTGTGAGTACCGCATTTCAAATGTTGGCGTTATAGACATTGTATGAGTGGGTGTGTGAGTGGGCAACAAGTGAAGTGAGCAAGTGGGTAACCTATGGGTGAGTGTTTGATCATGTGAGAGAGTTGGTGTGTGAGTGAGTGGGTGACAAGTGAAGGGAGTTGGTGGGTGAGTGAGTGTCTTCATAGGTGCTTGCTATTATCACTTGCCCAGTAGTCTGTTCAGGCTATATGGGGAATTTTTGTGGGTGAGTGGGTGGGTAAGTGAATGTGTGGGTGAGAGCGTGACTCACAATTATAACAAGACTATTGTACACACAATGTATGCTCCAGAACAAGACATCCTGGGTGCTTTACAACATGGCCTCTTACTACTGGCGTCTCAAGAACAGTCCCACGCAAGTGGCCGAGTGTGCTATGAGAGCCCTGCACCTGTCCCCAGGTAATAATCACAATGCTAAACAAAATCTCTCCGGCGATGCTGCCATGTAGGCAGTGCTGCACGAGCATAAATTACAAACAACTCGTCACCTTCCTCAATCAGCACTGTGGCCTGAAAATGAAAAATAAATCAAGCGATGTTTCATGCACTGGCTTGTATAGCAAGTAGAGGTCAGAGAGACAGAGAGGATATTGGTTTTAGACTGCACAGTAGAACTGTATGATAGCTCAGTTTACGATAACTCTCTTTGCAAGTCATAGAAAGATTATAAAATATAATTCTTACTAGTGCCGCATGGTGTATCGTGCTATTATTCATCAGCTTTCTCTGCCAAAACAAAACACTTCCCAGGAAGTCTGGTAAATTGTGTGGATCCACAGGATGAGGAATTAGATTGTACGTCATTTGGTGCTGACGGGGGCCCCCTTGTCCCCGTGCAGGCCACACCATGACGTGGCGCTGGTGAACCTTGCCAGCGTGCTGCACCGAGCCCACTACTCGGCTGATGCCGCCGTGCTGCTGCATGCTGCGCTACCCATCTCCAGCGATCCGGCCACAGTTCACTACACCCTGGGCAACGTCTATGCCGTGAGTAGCAATCCGCTAGCTGTTGTCTTCTCTGTACTAACCAACCATACTCTTTGGTTTTTTCGGTAAAGTCACGTAGGTAAAAAATAAAATTAAATAAATGAAAACAACTCAATTAAATCACGACGTTTGGGGCGCAACACAAGCGTCCGTCATCAGGTGGGAAAGCATGGCCTACTGCTGATGCAGACTGCTTGTGTTGCGCCCCAAACGTCGTGATTTAATTGAGTTGTTTTCATTTATTTTATTTTATTTTTTACCTACGTGACTTTACCGAAAAAACCAAAGAGTATGAATCCTTGCAGTCACGAAAGCTTCAAATCTAGAACTAACCAACCAGTTGTCTGGGAGCGGTGACGTGGCCCAGCAGTAAGGGGCTCTCCGCTTGATGCAGAGGTTGCGCTCATGACACACAAAGTGCTTGCCACAAAATGAACCACAATACCTCGCTGATTTCGTCAAGGAGCATGAACCATCACGCGAACTCCAGTCATCCTCACAACAGTGTTTAGCTAGCCATCGAACAGAGACGGTCACTGCATTGCACGCGTTCAGATGCGCTTTATGCGGCTGTCTGGAATGCTCTTCCTTCCGATATAAGGAAGCCCCTGGAGCTATGCACTTTTAAATCTATATTGAAAACTAATTTCTTGAGAACTGTTTTGGTGTTTGTTGGCATTCCCTCACACCTCTGATTACCACAGTTGGCTATGTACTGTGCGAAAGAAGTTCAACATACATACATCTGACTGGGTCCTGGGCCTCCTTTAGGTCGACTCAGCCTCAAATGATTTCCTGCTATAATGTGTAAAACAACATCACTGGGGAGACAAAGGTGGCCAGGTGCGATACAGGCCACACCATCCCCTCGTGTGCCATGTTGACCTTTGTAGATGCTCGCGAACAGCACTTGCCCCAACAGCCCGTTTAGGATATCGGGGATCTTTAGCTTAATGCATGACCACGTGTGCATGATGTCACGTGTTGCAGATGCTGGGAGAGTACAACCACTCGGTGCTCTTCTACGAGCAGGCGCTCGTGCTGCGGCCCGAGCTGGAGGCTGCGGGGAGGAGGCGCCACGCTGTTCTTTGCCAGCAGGGACTTGAGCGCAAGCTGGAGGCTCAGCACAGGTGCCTATCCAGTGCTGCTGTACACACACGAGCCCCTTTCTGCTGTGTACACACACTATGTCCTGGCTGATGTGTACACATACACTACCCTGCGCTTTTGCATACAAACAACCCGTGCAGAACAGGCACGGAACATACAAGCTCCACGTAGAAAGGCGCTCAAGCCGCAAAATCTAACCCAGGCCCTTCTTGCTGTGAGGAACGAGTTTTACAACTGCGCCACCACTCTGCGGCTTCATTATCACAGGTCCCTGCAGCAGACGTTGAGTGAGCTGAAGGAGTACCAGCGGCAGCACGAGCAGTACGTGCACCTGCAGGAGCAAGTGGAGCGGCACAAAGTCCCGGCTGACCAACAGCTGCTTCACACGATCCTGCACGAGGCTCATCTAGCCCGCGACACTCACTCCGGTACCCACACTCCTGCACTGATCATGTCTGACACTCACTCTGCTACCCACACTCCCGCACTGATCAAGTCTATGATACTCACTCTGCTACCCACACTCTTGCACTGATCAAGCCTGTGAAACTCACTCTGCTACCCACACTCCTGCACTGATCAAGTCTATGACACTCACTCTGCTACCCACACTCCTGCACTGATCAAGCCTGTGACACTCACTCTGGTATCCACACTCCCTCACTGATCATGTCTGTGACACTCACTCTGATATCCACACTCCTGCACTGATCAAGTCTGTGACACTCACTCTGCTACCCACACTCTTGCACTGATCAAGTCTATGATACTCACTCTGCTACCCACACTCTTGCACTGATCAAGCCTGTGAAACTCACTCTGCTACCCACACTCCTGCACTGATCAAGTCTATGACACTCACTCTGCTACCCACACTCCTGCACTGATCAAGCCTGTGACACTCACTCTGGTATCCACACTCCCTCACTGATCATGTCTGTGACACTCACTCTGCTACCCACACTCCTGCACTGATCAAGCCTGTGACACTCACTCTGCTACCCACACTCCCTCACTGATCATGTCTGTGACACTCACTCTGATATCCACACTCCTGCACTGATCAAGTCTGTGACACTCACTCTGGTATCCACACTCCTGCACTGATAAAGCCTGTGACACTCACTCCGGTACTACTCAACCAGGTGGCTCAACGGTAGAGCGAGCGGCTCGCAATCGGAAGGTTACGACATCAAATCCTAGATGGGGGTTGATTCAGCTCATCATGTTTCTCTGGTCGTTAAAATTAATACTACTTACGGGGGTAAGTCAACAGTGGTTACTGTATGGATAGACTCTCTCTTACCATGGGAATGTGGAATTATCTGCACTTGCTCTGAGCTGCAAACAAGAGATTAACACCGCCTCAGTGCTAATTTGAGCAAGAAATCACTGATTATTGACTCGTTATTTACGACACTGGGTGCTGCCAAGACCTAGAGAAATCCATCTGTAATGATCTGGTGACATAGTGTTTGCTGTCTTTCTGTTATTGATACGAGTGCAGGTAACAGTCAGGTGTGTCGGTGGAGCCAGCAACAGAAGCTGCTGGTTTGTCAGTGGGATCAGCCGGTGCGGTACACGAAAGGGGAGGGAGAAGATGGCATCGAGCGCGTGCAGGTTGGAGGCTTCTCGTGACTCGCACAATGCCACATTGTTTTGTCACACGTACCCATGGCCAGCACTTCCACTACCAATGCGTCCACATTGCAGCAGGGAGTAATGTTGTTGGGGTGTGGGACGCACAGCTTGGTGTGATGATTTCAAGTGTTGCTTTTACACATCATCTCCATCATCGTCATCTCTATCAATCTATTTGAGTCATGGATTTGAAATTTACTTGTGAAATATGAGAGATATCAAAATAAATATATGTATTCTCATTGAGCGTGATTAATTATTATGACACTTGTTTACCCAGTGGAAGCCTCACCTAGTATCAAGACTCATTTATAGCAGAGTCTTGCTAAGTTTTCTCTGTGGGGAGCGATGATTGCTGTGTACATTCCCATTGAATCATTTTCAAGTGACTTTTTAAATTTGGCAAATTTGGACCATGATGCCGACACAATTGCGATTGACCTCACATGATTTGTAACGTTAAGCATGAAGCAGACGGTGAATAGTATGTTATGGTTATACTCATACTCTTAGGTTTTTTCGGTAAAGTCACGTAGGTAAAAAATTTAAATTAATAAAAGTAAAATAAAACAAATTAAAAATCACGACGTTTCGGAAGCAACACAAGCCTCCGTCTTCAGGTGGAACCGTCACAGCCACGACAGCTGTATCAAGTAAATGAGAGATCACAAGAAATACTACCCGTATATATAATGGTTGAGGGGGAAGGGCCAGGAACGGCACACTTTTTATTAATATGGTAAGGTGAGGCTTAAGACCAAGAGTAGACTGCATAACAAAGGACTGAGCCTTTGTTATGGAGAGGTGCGGTTTGTAACTAACACATGGCATACATAACAAAAGTGTGAAAAAAGAAAAGCAAGTAAAAACTAAAACTGGTAAAACAACAAACTGGCTGTCTATCAATAACCTGTAATAGTTGTCTGTCAAATAAGATGGTCCAAATAAGTGTAGTTACATCTTTTTTGCATGGTTAATCACATCTTTCCAATGATTACTCAGTTTGTAACCCTCATCACGGTTGAAATTATGTCTGTGTTTGTATATTTGTATGGCTTCGTGTACAAACCTTTGATGGTAGCCAGGAGGTTTGCAGAGCACCTTGGTCTCGGAAAAGACAATTTCATGAGAGCCCACAGAGTTGTAGCAATGATCGGCAACAGCCGAAGAATCAGTTCTGCCGTGTTTCAGATCTGACTTGTGCTCGCGGACACGATCAGAAACATGACGTTTCGTTTCTCCAATGTAGCAATCACCACAACTGCAACTCAATTTGTAGACTCCAGGATACTGTAAGTCAGGAACGACATCCTTCACAGATGGAATCAGATCACGGATTTTATGCACTGTACTGAATCGGACTTGGATCTTATGTTTGTTTAGAATTTTGGAGATCTTTTTGGTCACGCCTGCTATGTATGGTAACGTGATAGTTTTGGTCGGAGTTTCATGTGGCTGTTTCTGTATGGTGGGAGAAACAGCTTGGCGTATGGTGCGGTCAGAGTATCCGTTCATCCTGAGGGCCCGATGTACATGTCTTAATTCACCGGCCAGGTGGTGTTGGTCAGAAATGCCATGGGCTCTGTGGTATAGCGTTTTGATGAGAGAATTCTTTTGAGATGGGTGGTGGTGGGAATCCGGTTTCAAGTAGGAATCTGTGTGGGTGGCTTTCCTGTACACAGAATGTCCCAAGGATCCGTCAGGCCTCCTCTCAAACAGAATATCCAAGAATGGTAGTTTACCATCTTTCTCCACTTCCATGGTGAATCTGATGGATGGGTGTCTGGAATTGATGTGGTCCAAGAAGTGGTTCAATGCTGGGAGGCCATGTGGCCAGATGACGAAAGTGTCATCCACATACCTCTTCCACAGGGAAGGACGCAGGGTGGATGTCTGGATGGCGTCTGATTCAAACTTTTCCATGAACATGTTGGCTATAACTGGTGACAAGGGGGAGCCCATAGGGGTACCCTCATTCTGTTTGTAGAAGGTGCCATTCCAGGTAAAATAGGTGTTGGTGAGGCAATGCCTAACCAGCGCAGGTACATCAGAATTCAATCCATGTTGGACTAAGTCCTCAATTATTGTTAGGGTGTCCGGTACTGGGACTGCCGGATTTAATCCACGAACCTCTGTCACAAGAGGCGAACGCGCTCCCGCTGGGCCACGTCACAGTAAACTTACTGCGTGTCGTGTAGAGTGGAGTCATGATGCACAGTGCGCAACCTGTTTCAGTTTGGGGAAGAGGAGCCAGGAGCTGGCACCACAGCCCTGCCCAGCAGAGCAGATTCTCTGTCTGGTGAGGGCCTCGTCTCTTCACGGCCCCACCACCACACAGGACCTCGAGCCAGGAGCCACCACAACCTGCCGGCCAGTGTACAGGTAGGCGACCATGCTTAACGGATATATAGTCTGATTTTTTCTTGTACTTGTACAGGAAACGTTACTTTACTTGGTGGCCAGGCTGTAATTAAGCAGGCTTGGACAGAGCACATCACTGGAAGGGATGGACGATTGATGAAGAATGTTAAGGGAATGGTTGCGAAGGAGTGGATGCATCCTTGAGGACATCCACAGAAGGAGATTAAGCAAGCAGATCAGTTCATGTGCAGGTGCTGGATGGAGTGTTGCATCGCAGGGAAGGCCTTCATCCTTGCAGGGAATTGTTCTTGGCTGATGACGATGATGATAACCGGGCTGAGACTATCAACCGACTACACACAAGAACCTGGGTTAATCGGAGGCTGCTGCCCAGGTTTTAATCTAGGATCTCAGTGGTGCTGGCTCAGTGCTGTCACCCCTGAACCACGCACCTACCTCAAACGTATATTCTCTTCACAATGAACTTCAGATTCCCGTTGGACAGCCTGAGATCGGTTATGTACAAAACAATATATTTTCGGTTGTGCAGATGCGTGTGTGTGGAGTGTGTGTGTGGTGTGTGTCTGTTAACGCTATTTGAGCCTTGTGATGTCCATTCAGGGTTTCCTTTGGCCCCAGAGGAAGCAGTGTCTTCATACTTTTCCCACAACTTCACCTGCTTCAGTTCCACCGATATTTTCTTTTCTTCTGGACACCATGGGAATGAAGTAAGACATCACCATAGACACACAATGGGTAGGACCACATTTATTTCAGAAATTCATAAAGTTACTACTTCATATGTTATATGCTGGCCGGTCAGGTTGCCCAGCAATCTAGTGAGCAGCTCGCAATCACAAGGTGCGAATTTAAATGCTGGTGGGGAGTTCAGTCCAGAGTCCATCAACTCTGGAATCAATAAAGTAGGTACCACTGTGGGGGAGTAAACAGTGTTTGTCCAATTGGGAGACTTTCCCACTATTGCAATGTGTAATTCCCACAACTACATTGACCGTAACAGCATAAGAGAACCACCTAAATACTCATTTTAGCAGGAAATCACTTTAACTTTGTTGACGTTTTCATATGTTTACAACTGTTTTAAATACCTCATATGCTGAATGCCGCCAATGTGCTTTGTTTTTGGAAGCCTGACTCAGATGTTGGAGGATGTCATGAACTCTCCTGAAAAGCCACGGTGTGCTATGGCACACAGCACGCAATCAGCGCAACCGGAAATGCCTGGAGAGACTGCTCACAGAGCATGCTGCCTCAAGCCGGAGCCCAGGCATTTCCAGCCCGGCAGCTCAGAAACCTCCGTCACCCACGGCGGTATAGCCACTGAGAGAAGAGAGCCGTTAATTCAGCAGGTCAGATTCTCGCACAGCTCTCGGCCACCCGTTCTTCCTTTTGCTTGTCCTCGCCAATCCCCTCCCTCACCACTCTCCTCCCTCCCAATGTCCTGTCACAGTCATCCGCTTTTGTGGCTCGTAAAGTTTTTGAAGGGAGGCTGAGGTGGTAAAAACAAACATCACGTAATTCGAAAGCAATTCAACATTCTCCTCAATGCTTCGAGGGTGACAGGGCGGTGGCGCAGTGGTAACACTCGTGCCTCGCAGCAAGGACCTGAGTTTTTCTTCCCGACTCGGGTGCCTTTCTGTGTGGAGTTTGTATGTTCTCCCCTTGTACTGCATGGATTTTCTCTGGGTTCTCCAGTTTCCTCCCATAGCTAAAATAAAAAACAAGGTCATTGGTGTTTGCCAAGCATCCCAATGTTGCAGGACCTTTCTGAAAGAGAGTTGAGACTCAGTGAGGCATTGCTGGATAAATACAGGCAATAACAAACTGAAAAGATGGTCATATTTGCAACCGATGCAAACAAAATGGAGGTTTTACAAAGTTTCCACTCACAGGTTGTGGTGTTACTTGGCATGTGATGTGCAGTGCGTATGTGACACCACATATTTGCGGTGGCGCTCCGGTTTCCTGGCAGGAGCATTGTACATTTGGCACCATTTTTATAGCACAAGGCTCACCTTAAGGAAGGCGCTGTTTTTCACAGATGAGTAGAGTTGCCAGTAGTAGGTCTGTCGCCTCGACAGACCTGGTTTCACCTGAGGACGGCTGCTTGCGTTGTGGCCGAAACGTCGTGAGAATTATTTTATTATGTTTTATTTTTATTATTTTATTACTTCCCTTCTACGTGACTTTACCGAAAGAACCAAGAAGATGAATCCCTGCAGTCACGAAAGCTTTAAATCGAAATTTTGTAGTATTGTAGTCGGGGAACTAAGTTGCTATGTGTAATCAGAATTATTATACCCAAAGGTTGCATCAGTTTAAATAAAATTAATCTTGCCAAGAAAATCAGTTTCATTAAATTGTGAAGCATTTACTTGCCTTTAATCTGCCCAGGTGGCTCAGTGGCAAAGCGAGTGGCTCACAATTGGAAGGACACGAGTTCAAATCCTCTGGGGTCAATAAAATGAGCACCCAAGTCAAAAGTGGTTGTCCATAAGAATAAGGAAATTCCACCACTTGCGCAGGGCTTTAAATTGGAGCTTTGAGGCACCAATGCCTCAAAGCTCATTTGAGCGAGAAATTACTGTGACATTTTTTTGGACTTACCTTTTTTA